AGGAGCAGTGTCCTTCTGGCAACACAACCCATTCATTCATCAAGCATCGAGTATGCACCATGCATATGGCTTGCTTTAAGTGTCTTTTCCAGGAGAAGGCTCCCCACACACTCCCTTTTCTTTTTCCTCCTCCAATGAATAATGCATACAAACGGAGCACACAGTTTGAGCAATCAGGAGCAGTTATTACAGCTCTGCACACAGAGTAAACAAGTAAAACATGAAGCGCATTAAACAAATGTCCCGGTGACCCATGATGTTGCAATGAACAGAGTCCGGCCACCCGTTCCACCATGGATGCAATAATTTGGATTAATGGCAGAGAAAGAAGATAAGTCTGCAGAAGCCTTTCCCAAAGTTTCTCTTTTCCGATGTTGCCGGAGGCATGCGAACCTTGCAAACTGGGCAAAAGCCCCTACCTGTGCCCTGCTGAAGGCACCAGCTCTGTAAAGTGTTCTTGGCTGCCCCAGTTCCTTGCTGAGCATACAGGACAACAGAGCTCATCACACTCGCATTAAATGCGTCCACTGGAAATGAGACAGCTCTTTGAAAAACATCAAAATGCTGGTTTCAAAGATGAGACTGAAAGTGTCTGAAGGGCTCTTTTTTTGTTGTTTTGGACAAGACAGAGTGTTATTAAGCACAGTTTGAATTGGCTTGGTACACGTGGAGTAAAGATATCCTAATCTGGTACATTTCTAGGTCCTGTGAAACCTTCTGTACAATCGTATTTTTTTTAGATGAAAGGAGCAAAAAAGAAGACATATTAGAAAGTGAGTTAATGAAAGATCTAGACTGGACAGATGAAAGAGACCACTTGGAGAAAATCAGTCCTCTGAGATTCATGACGTGAGCTACACGCCCTTGAAGACAAAGAACAACATTTGGGTAACCTTGTCTTGGATCCATTCATGAATAAGGCATCTTCCATTATGTTTGCTGTATGAAGCCGATTTAAACAGGTTTTTAATTCTTTGCTTATAGCAGCATGTTACTGTCAGATCTAAAGATGGGCAACCATACAGAAAAAGGCTTAGCAAAGCTGCAGGTAGTTTTCGGACAAACGCAGTAAGTGTAATGCATTGAACCGGAAAACTCTGCTTGTTGATTACTGGTAAATACACATTAGGTAACTGCAGGGACAGACAGAAGAAAAGCTTCCCTTTTCTTCCCCTTTCCCTCAGAAGTGTAAAAGCTGGGAAGGGCTAGTATTCCTGGCGAGAACACGACCAGCCATGAAAACTTCAGGGAAGCTGGTGAAAGGAAGGATGCAGGAGGAGAGCGACAGCGTTCTCCCTGGCCCGCAGAGACGGCACTCAGCTGAGCGAGCAAGGCACGGTCCCTACGTCATGCGATGTCAGCCACCGTTACTAAGGAAACGGCACCAGATAACCCAGGCTGAAAACATCCAGATCCAGTTTCTAACAGAAATGCCAGTCCACTGAAGATGCTACAAATATCCATGGAGCTTGCGTCATTTCGTTATACTCTGATTGACAACACAGTACTGGTGAAATTCACTCAACAGCAACCTGTAGCCCGAAGAAATTTGGAATTTTTGTCCCAACATGGCACAGATTAGCCACACTGCACACAGTCCAAACTGAATCGCTACGGCTCTGAATCTTTTATAAATCAGAGAGGATGAAAGAGTAACTGGAATATAACTAGGTTATAAACTGGGTTGAGAACAAATACAAAAACATTTGCATTCTTTTTTTCCCCGCAACGATGAAAATGTCAGCACTGTTTTCCTTCTCTTAGATCACACAGGTGAAGACTATAGATTATAAGCAGAATCACTGTGGTTACAAGTCTATCCCACTGGATGAGTAGAACTGACTGGCACAGAGGCATTATTCTTCCAGGGGCCAGCAAGGGTGGCATGGAGTTGCCCCAGGTCCAGAGAATGGCATTTGCTTCAGGAGCTTGCAAAGGTGAGCTCACTGCTTCATACCGTATGCTCAACATGTTAGACAGGTAGTGCTGAGACTGTGTCTCCTATCTTAAGACACATGTTTTCTGTGGTCTCGTTAGGGTGACCTCGGGGCAGGAAAGGGGCCCTCCTACCCACTGGATGCCAACGTATCTCCAAAGAGTCAAATCCCATACAAGCTCCTCTAGATTTGTAAATGAACCCTACACAACATGGGCTGCTCTTCTGTCCAAATGCACCCTATGGATTGAGTTCAGGACCATGGAGACCCATTTCAAGGGCTAGGCAGACTGTGAGGAAACCCGTTCAGGCTCAATGCTGTGCAGTAACGTTACATGAAAAACTTCCTTCCGCTTAACCGATGATACACCTAAGCTCTGTTCAGAGATGCTGTAGTCCAGCATGGGGCTGAACAGTGAACGTGGAGTCTGCCATCTCAGCCCTGGAGTTTCTTGTGCTTACAAACCCCATGAACTGTAACAAAGAGGCACCGAAGAAGGGTGTGGGAAAAGTGGCACACTATTTAATTGGCACCTTCAGCCACTTAGGGCCTAGGAGAGCTAGGAAATTTTCAGTTACTGATGCAGACAGGCCCTGAAAATCAACTACCATGTATTTAAGCGACTTTTGCTAAACTCAGTCTTGCAGGAGAGTAAATGATTCACAAGAATTCTATATTTATAACAAAGACTCACTGAAAATGACTCATGTACTGAGCCAATCTAATTCTAAATAGAAGGGAAAAACCTCTTGAAGAGGCACATGAAACTGGAGTGGGGGAAGGAAGAGAACTGCACACACAGGAAAGCCCCAGCCAGGAGCTGTTAGCCACATCTACTGGAAATGGTTTCTCCATTCAATTAGCTGAAGTGACAGCAGAACAGTCAGCTTCACCTACTTCTGCTTTAGAGTTAATTAAGTCCTACATGCAAAGCAGCTGCAGGTTGGAATACTTCCTTAGGATAGGTAGGATCGCTGGGCAACAATAAGGCAGCTCATGGAGAGTTATTAGTTCCTCAGACCCTACAGAATTCAGAACACAAGACCAACTGGGATCACAGCGGGAAGGAGGGAGAAATATTAAGAAGATTTTACAGCATCGCTAATTTTGGCCAAGCAGATTCTAACAGAAATAGCTGCCACCCCACTACCCCTTACATCAACACTGCAGTACATCTTACAGAATATAATTTCTAAGACAGAGAACAGACACACAAGACTAGGAGCTCTCCAGGTCAAACAGGTAGCCCGCAGCAAGGGCAGAGGCTCAGCATTCCTTCACCTGCTCCTATCTCAGGATCATTTTCCTCAGTTACTTTTTTTCCTCTGCATAGTACAAATATACAGTAGATAAAAGGGGAATATTTTACATAACCACAACCTAAATGGAGGAAACTGCTACAGTCTATATTAATAGCAATAAAATATTAGCCACAGAACATGGCCAGATCTTGCACTCCTGCACTGAGTATGTAGGGATGAGTAAATTATCCTAAGCTATAAGTAAAAGATAACTTGGAAACAGCAGGCAGGCTTAGTGTAAGATTAGCCTTGCATACATAATAACCACACACAGCAGAGCAAGTTGGAATTTCAGTGTTGCTACAGAAAAGGTTACTATTCTCAGACTTTGGCTTTCAGTAACATGCGTCAATACTTCTTTGTCTAAATGGTCCACTTATCTCCAAAGCCAACTTCCACTCTTCTTAACCTCTCCACTGCCATCAACACATAACTGGGTACGCTTGGCTGCAATGCTCCATTCTGTGAAATCCAGAAGTGTTTACATGATGGCCGTTCTCCAATCATTCTCAGCATCGCTCCCAGTTAAGTCTTCAATTTGAAGCATGAAAAGAAAGCAACCAAGAATTCACAGGCCAACAAACATATTTACAATTGTACATAGCTTTAATTCTCAGCAGTATCTTGCTGCGATGTTTCTCCACGCACCAAAGTCTGATGAATAGTGTTAATTTTTTATTGGCCCTAGTAAATTACAGGGTAGATTACAGAACTGTTGGACCAGCATTCAACAGTTCCTTCTCAGGCACTGAATGAAGTGGCCAAGTCTCCAAAGGAGTACTTGGCGTGAACTCTTAGGAGCTGACCTCTACTGAGAATCCAGCATTGGACCATCCTTAATCCACCCACCCACACAGGGTCTGCTTCACTCCATCATCACAACACACACACACATATCAGTCTGTCTGCAGGGACCAGGCAAACCACCACCAAATTTTAGAATTTATTCAGACTTTGAGTGATTTCACAGAGTTCTGAAACACCAGCTGCCCTTGATATACATGATATTATCTCCAAAGAAATTTTATTTTCTTGCTAATTCTTGGTAATGCAACTTACAAAAGACAGTCATGAGGAAAAGTCACCAACATAATGGCTCACTGATTATATTAAAAAATATACAAGAATGTCCATGATGTCAAAGTCTAAACCTCAATCTCTCAAATGCACCATTTATGTAATACAGCATTCAGTGCACAGTGGAGAGCAGAGAAGTATTGTGAAGACCTGAAACATGCCAATTAGCCAGTGGCATGATGCTGGCTAGAAAAGTCACTGAGATTTCCATTGTTTCCCTTTGTTAAAAAAAGGCAACAGCTCTTCCAATGACTTTTTGGGCTGGATTCTGTCACCTATACTCAAAATGAGACACCTTATTCTTCAAATACATTGAGACAACTTACAGAACAAAGTACTTTCAGCTGGAAGGTAGCTGCCAGATTTTAAACCATGACTGTGAAAACTTCATTTTTTGGCAGTTATTCTCTGGGTTGTATCTTATTTTTAACCTACTAGTGCTTCCTAGTAAATCATCGTGTCATTTTGGCTTGGTACTTATTTTGGATAATGCTGTTTTAATAAGAGTTACTTTCTTATTTGTAATGTGCACACGGATGTAGCAAATGTAAAGAAAGGTGACGTGGGTCTGAACTCCATGGTTTCTAATATTTAAATCCCTGCAATTACCTTCAACAGCAGAGAAAATACATTTCTACAGGAAAAGTAAGATTATGCAGTGTTAGCTCTTTTGTGTGTCATTTACCACATAAGGCGATGATGTGACTGCTGTCTTCATGTACAAATTTCCGGGTGACAGCTTCTTCCATGATCTGCTTTACCTAAAATAAATAAAAAAAAGTGATTGTAAGATCCCAACACAAACCAGCACAGCACTTGGGAGTTTCAGGTTCAGCCTTTGCTTGCCCTTTCCCCATCACCAAAAGACTAACAATTCACGCAAGTTACTCTTCGCAGGGAAGGAAGCATAAAAGCACTTAAGAAGGGAAAGGAAGGACAAATCCGAGCAGCTCTTCATGTGATGAGGAAACCTGTTGCAGAACAAGGACAGGTCTATTTGGGGCATGCCCCTATAAAAGGATGAATTGTTTCAGAGTGCCCTCTGGAGAACTTCTTTGCAGAAGTTCCAAAGGGCTGTGCAAAACTTTTTATATAATTCATCCTTGGCCTTCCTGCGTATAGTTACTTCTGCTCATGAAACAAGATTATGTATTGCCATGTGCTCTTTCCAGTTGTGGCATTCTGCTCTTCCTCAAGCACAAAGAATCCCTGAGCTACACAGGCATACATCCCAAGAGATGTTTACAGCAACCTTTCTCCCATTTGGGGACTTAGATACCACAGTAATTACAAATGATACTCTCAAAGCTCTGCTGCACCAGACACTGTACAAAAGCAATATAGCACCTACAGAAAAGACAGTGCCTTCAGTTTTTGCTTCTAGACACAATTTAATAATTACAGCAAATACAAGTACATTTATCACACTTCTTACTGATTTAAAACAAAGTTCCTCTCCAGTTTCCAGGCTGATGTGTCAAGCTCCAGAGGGAATTCATTGCAGATTACTGACTTTCAAAAATTAAGGAAGAAAACACACAGATCTTACAGTTAGGCTCTTGAAGAGAGGCTGCAGTTACCCTCCATTCATCTGCTAGCTTATTCCTCCCCCAATGGCTTCCTTTGACTGATACCAGACAAAACCTATTTGCCTCAACCAACCCATTTATCTGACACTCATTCCTTCCTGGCCACGGAGCACTTGCTTTTCCAGATACAAATCCACGATCATGTTTGGCTTCTCTTATTTGTGAGCTATAATTATGGGACTAGGACACTCTGCCTAAATAAATACCACATCACTTTGAATATATGAAAGTAAGTGCTACTGTGGCAGAAGATTTAACATGATACTGTCTTCTTCCAATATTTTTTTTTTTTTAACTTGAAAACAATTTTTACAGCAGTCCTGGAATCCAACAAATAGTGAATTATCTGGCAGGTAATCACTGTGTGGCTGCTCTTTACCAGCATGCCCAGCTGCATGGCCTGTGTACCAATTCAGTCTGACCTGAATGCCAGTGCAAGTTGTACAGCAATGATCACCGCTAGCCTGCCGCAGGGGCTAGGTCTGCGTACCTAGGAGACCTCGATCCATACTTTTCAGTAGGGCTGGCAACTGTGCCCTCAGCTCTCATTAGGCTGCATCTGGTACCTGAGATAACCAGTTTAAAGCTAACCGGGTTACCGCTGCTTTGTAGCGTTGACAGGTCCAAAGGTTTTAAGCCTTCCCACTCAGCGCTGGAACCAGGAGAAGCTGCAGGTGCAATGCTTGATCAACAGCTGGGCTCTGTACTCGCACTGCTGGGATGATGAGGCGGCAGCTCAGTGCCTTCTCCAGTTTGGAGGGCTTCCTCCTCCGGTAAGATCATTTGCGAAGCCAATTCTGGGTGCTGTAATCAAGCATGCCTTCCCCCCGCTAATCATCTTGAGGCCTCCATGCCCACTCCTACACCCCCACCCCAGCTGGCAGCAGTCTGCGGCTCCAGCTCTGGCACTTGCTGCATGAGCATTTCAACACATGGCATTCTCCTCGCCCCAAATTCTGGATCAAGTTGATCCTACAGAATTTGGACTTCTTATCAAACAGCAGCCCCCTGGGTTGCAAAGAAAACATTGCGGGGGGTGGGTGGGGTAGGGGCGGGAAGCAAACATGTAAGAGGCTTTGAAAGTAGAATATGTTTTATACCTGAGGACTTCAAAGCGAGTCCTTTGCACTTTACAAAACCTGGCTCACTGTTCACATACTGAAGCTTGACAATATAAACTCCTAATAGGGCAGTTTGTTTCTTTCCTGTGGCATTTCTGACATGGCTATAAGAACTTTGGACCTTACAGTAAAGCAGTGGGAGGTGGAGGAGCGAGAGGATATCAAGAAAGAAGCAAAGGTGTGAGAAGGTCTCGTGGATGGGAACTCACACAGGAGGCATCCGGATTATCCTGTTTATCCAGCAATCCCCTTCTCACATTTTTATTTGCATCGCTGTTGATTTACAAGCTTGATGTCTTGTTGGGTTCCTGCCAAGACAAACAAACTTGTTCCAAACCTCACCCAGAGGTTTGAAATCATCTAGATAATAGTGCCTAGGCAGACCACAGCTCAGCAAAGGGAAGGGGACTGGACAGCTGCGCAGCTCTGCCTGTTTAAATTCCAGCTCAGACCCTGACCTGCATTTTCACACGTGGGAGGCAGCATGTTCCGTCAAACACAGCTTGCAGTGGAAGTACAGAGACAGTGCCATCCACTGCCTCCAAGCCAATTCATCTCTGTGCCTCAGCCGACCCATCTGTGAAAGGACAATGACCCAACCTTTGCAAGCTGTTCTGATTTCACTGGATGAAAACTATGTTTAATCTATCAGTGAAAGGCCGGATTTACTAAAGGGAGGAAATACCCCTGAGTGCCGCTAGCGTTAAGGTGGACAGCAGAGGCAGCATGAGAGCGCGGCACCGGGGTAAGTCATCCACATTTGACTCAAGTTCACAGACATGAATTCAGGCACCACTCAGGACTGCAGACTGTGATTTCAGTCTCAGCTCCCCAGAGAACAGTAACTGGAATTCAATTCCTGACGACAGGGAGGAAGAAGAGTCATTTACCAGGAGCAAGAGCTCTGGAGCTCAGAGGCCAGTTCCCCAGAGTTGGCTCAGAGGCCAACTGTCACACATTTCCCAGGCGTACCCCAATCATTACTCTTCATTAGCTCAGTATGTTATTTCGATCCCAGTCTGTAGCCCAGGAACAAAAAATTTAAAGTGTATAAAAAATTAGAAAGAAAAAGGTATCAGATGCAATAATCAACCCTACTTTTATACAGCAGCACCATATGGTCAGCCTATCAGCAGAGTTTGAATCGAGGACCTCCAGAGCGAAGCAGGAGAGGCCTGGCAAGCAATCAGTGTCTGTTCCCAACTGCCACCAAATACAGAGCAACCTCTGCATATTTTCTGGAAAGTTAATGAATGTTATTAGAAAACATTTTCAGGGCACAGACAGTAGATGTGAAGATTCAAAAGCTGGAATGCAGTGTTCTTCAATCCCACGTCATTCCTTACTGCCACGTAATTCAGGGACGCTCCAGGCAAGGAGCTAAATCAAATGTTTCTGATCAAACGGAACACAAGCCTTTTTATTCCGTGCCCCCCCATGCAATTTTGTGCAGCTCTCTTTGTAGGGAATTATGCTGTTGTGTCTCTGTGTTCTGGGGAGGCGCTTGTCAATGAAGCTTTCTGAGCCTAAGTCTACACAGACACCCACTTGCAGATACTAGCGGACCTGACCAAACTGCAAATTAATCTCATTAAAAGAAACACCAACAGCCCACCCCGCCACATTCACCTATTGCTGCGGTTTAACCCGGCAGGCAGCTAAACCAGGACACCCATCCACCTGCACAGGTAAAGAAATCTATTCAGCCTACTGAGCTGCCGTTTGCTGCAAGGGATGTAGGGCTGCCTCCTCCGGCTGGAGCCAGGGCTGCCTGGAGAGAAACCTGCTCAGGTGGGAAGGAGGCAACAGAGGTTCGGCTGAGGTGTGACACAGGCTCCCTCCATCGCCTTGGAAACATCCCTCCCGTTCTCCGTGCCTCCTTTGTGAGACCAATACAGGATCTACTCATCTTAACCAGGCTGTTCGTTTACACCTGCCAGCTGGCACAAGCACGCAGAGAAGCGGCAAGCGCACCGACTTCTGTGCATTTCAGTCTCTCCATCCGCGAAGCACAAGTAGCACTGCCTCAAGGGAACCACAGCGAGCTTTAACAGGCCTCGGTGACGGGCTCAGAAGACATTCTGCTCTCCCTGAAAAAGGTAAGAGGCTCCGTGTGCGCCAAGTTTACCAACCATTGGTCTACCTAAGTAAAGATCTTGGCATTTGAGGAGCGAAGAATATCCTAGTGGTAGCATTATCCAGGTAAAGCAAAGCAAGCTCCTTGAATAAAAGTTGATATGCATTTGCGCAATATTATAATAGATCTCTGCTCTGACTTTCTTCTACATCCAATAATGGCCAAAACTGTCAGAAGCAGTCAAACACCAAACATGGGTCATAATATATGGATTATTTAATAAGTTTCACCAAAGAAAAACACAAGAGAAATGCCTTTATGTTTAATGTTTCAATTTTCATTATAAGGAAGCTTTAAAAATGGAAATAAATTCCCAATTTTGCAGCAACCTGCTGGTATAAGAGACCAAGGAAATGAAGACTACTAAGACACGACATGCACTATGTACCAATTTATTCACAAGCACAGGGCTGGAAGAGACCCACAGGTGTTCGCTTTTCCATCCCTCTGTTGAGTTCCTGGTCCGCTCCAGTGAGCGCAGACAGTTAGGACTTGCCTTACAGCAATTTTGCTGAACTGTCACAATGATGGATTTCTGACCAGGGCTGTCCCAGCACATCTCAACATATCTGCAACCTTCAGGGTTAGGAACGACCTTTCAAACCAGCACCACTCTTTCAGAATACAGGTTGCAGCGTGTCGTGGTTTAACCTCAGTCGGCAACTAAGCACCACGCAGCCGCTCGCTCACTCCCCCCCACCCGGTGGGATGGGGGAGAGAACTGGAAAAGCACAAGTGAGAAAAACTCGTGGGTTAAGATAAAAACAGTTTAATAATTGAAATAAAATGATGATAATAATAATATGATAATAATAATACACAAAGCAAGTGATGCACAATGCAATTGCTCACCACCCGCCGACCGATGCCCAGCCAGACCCCGAGCAGCGGCCCCCCCCGGCCAGCTTTCCCCCAGTTTATGTACTGAGCATGACGGCACATGGTGTGGAATGTCCCTTTGGCCAGTTTGGCTGTGCCCCCTCCCAGCTTCTTGTGCACCTCCAGCCTTCTCAGTCGGTAGAGGATGGGAAACTAAAAAGTCCTTGGCTAGTGTAAGCACTGCTCAGCAACAACTAAAACATGGGTGCGTTATCAACTTTGTTCTCACCCTAAATCCAAAACACAGCACTGTACCAGCTACTAGGAAGGAAATTAACTCTATCCCTGCCGAAACCAGGACACAGCGCTTTCCCCAACCATGCACCATGACGGGACGCTGGAGAAGCACCATGAAGGACAATGCAGCGTTGGAGGCAAAGATCAGTGCTCATAAAATAAGGGAATAACCAGGACCACAGTTACAACCCACAGCATTTTCTCCCCAAAGGAGAAAACCTTACGGCCGGCCACCGTGCCTTCTTTAGCTTGTGTAGTTACTATTCATCTCATTCATTGATCGCTCCTGCTGCACTGACTGTTTGTTACTCTTGATGCAGAATTGGGTGGTGTAAATACAAGCTGTTAAATAAGTACTGTATTTCTGCTCAGAAGTGGTTGCCTTTTAGTTTTAAGATGAGCAATTGCGTTTCTGAAGCGCTCTGAAATTTTTCAGGGTGAGACTGCTAAGGTTATTGTTATCCTGTTTGTGACAGCTAGAAAGAGTGCTGTATTTAAATCCAGAAATGGCAAAAAAACCCTCCATTTCAGTAGGCAGAAGAAAATGGCCAGAGAAAAGCCTGTTTTATGAGTCTACTTGTCACCACAGATTTTCCTGCAGAGAGAGATAAATGTTTGAAACGTGAACTTACAAGCAGCCTCAGCATGAATCCCGGCAGAGTTAAATTTTCAAAACACATTACATATCCTCCTTTCTATTAGAGCCAACAAAATACATTCTTTACCAGTGGGAATTGAAAGTCCATCTGAGAAAAAGCAAACAACATTAAGTTCTCCCAAAGGAAAAAAGCAAAAGTTTTTGCTGAGAGGGAGAGAAAATAAAATAAAAAAATCACTTTGCATCAAGTGACTTTAGAGACAACCATTTTATATTTTGCAAAGACAACAGAATTTTAATAGGTTTGGTGTAAACAACATACAGAAAGAATATGCTTACTCTGAACTCCATTAGATATTGAGGTTACACGAAAATAATTCAAGGGGAGGAAGAGCCTGAGTTTAAAGGACGAGGGAAGGGAATGATTGCTTTGAGAATGGACACAGACTAGTCAAGTTTGCAAAACAAGACCACCAACACACAACATGCATGCAGGTGTAAGTGGCTGTGTGAAAAGTCACACAGAATGAAAAATGAGGTTGAAAATTCTACTGGGAAAAGTTAATTACTGTCATTAAGGGCAGCATAATCCGGTGGTTGGTACACTAGTGGTTTGCGTTCAATTCCTGGCTCCACTGACTGGTTGTTTAGAAGAAAAATAAAATCTCAACCTCAGTGTCTCGGACTGCCTCCTGATACCATTTGTCTGAACGCGAGCGGAACAGACGGGGTCCCCTACTACACATCTGTGCAGTGCACAGGCAAGAGGTGTTACCTTAACAGGCATACAATCACCACAAAGCTCTCATGACTATTTTAGGATAGAAAGCTCTGGGCAACTCCCAAAAAGCCAAGCCTATATAAATCCTCTAAAAGAGCATTTGGAGAAGAAAAAAAAACAGATCAAAGACAAAACAAAAATACAGATGACATAGAAGGTACAAGTAACACTTTCAAGCATTATTCAAGTAATTTAAAAGCTAGAGTCCAATTAAAAACATTTTAGAGACTTTAAAAACAAATTAGCCTCAGACTTTTTTAATTATATACCACTTGTTCTCCTCAGCTCGAGCTGGCTTGGATCATGAAAATCGATTTCACTTTCAATCTCATACATTAGCACAAGATTGCAATGTTGAGAGTCGGAAAACATTTCTCAAATTTATTTATATATTTAAACATTAGCCCAGGAGAGCAAGTGCACACACTTCTAAATCAAACCTTTTACTATCTTGGCTCAAAGGTCCTAGTTTAAGCTAAAATTCTAAATGAAGCGGCAGGTTGGTGGCTGCATTAAGCTGCAGCATTTAACATGTGAGCGAGCAATAGGTAACACCTGCTCGGCGCCCTGCAGGCAGGTGCTGGCTGGGTCATTCTAGGACATTACTACTGTTTTGCATACAGATCATTCTTTACATGTCTAACCCTACTCTACCACTCCCAGTCAACCTACACTGACTGAAGTATCTTGTATTTTCTGGTTTCAACACTAAAAAGTATTAGGACACCAGATTCAGGCTCAGGAACCTTGGCTGTAGCAACAACTTTTCACTTGAGCTTCGATGAGTCTTGCTCTCCTATGACTTCTAATTTTCCCAGCTGTGAACTGGGGGAGGGGAAGGACCAGGAGGATAGTTAGCATTTCAAAAATACTTTTTATTGCTGTGATGGATAAGCTTTACATCTTCATGTAGCTCCTGTGTAGGAACAGGCAGCTACACACAGCTGGTACACAGTCAATACCACAAGAACACAGACTGTGGTGCTGGGCCGTAGTGGGGAGAGGTGGCTGCTCGCTATGCCGCCACTTCCACCTGGAGCGTGTTCGCAAAGGTGCTCTTAGACCAAGGCACGCTTACACCACCATGCACCCCTTCCCAGAGCGCCTCGGCGGGGACCCCAAAAAGCATCCTGCTGGAGCGGGTCTCGGCACGAACCTTGCTGTGTGGTAAGCAGCCACCCCACCCAAGCGCCAAGCACAGCAGGAGCTCTGCCCTGCTGAGCGCATCCGACCAGGTAACAGCATCGTTCTTTGTGAAGACTGAAGCACCACCAGTCCAAACGCGAGCGTGATCGAATGCCACCGTCCCCGTTCAGGCAGGGGGTGTTCGGCAGTTTATCCACCAATGGACCTCAGATTGCCCCAGCACGTAAACGTCCCACAGCTGTTTGTAAGAACCAACCCAAAT